GAGGTCTTACATCTCATGCTGGGAGCCAACGATTCATTCATTCACCCTTTGGCGAAATCCCTAGGATATCAACCTGTCTTCCAGCAGCCTAACCTGGTGCCCGAAGCTGTCACCGACTTGTCCCAGCTTGCGCCCCGAGCCAACCTGGCCTGGGCCAGTTCGATCCCAGGGAGAAACGCGGCACATCGGAAGGTCAGAGAATTCATTCAAAATCAGCAAAAATAAAATTTAATGGTGCGCCGCAGGTGCGGGCTGTCTGTCCTTCCTTGGGCGCGACCGCTGGCCTCGAGGGAAAGCAGACAGGCTCCAGAAGGACCCCTGATGGCTGGCCACCTCAGCTGGGAGGGCGCTGCTTCCGGAGAAGGGAGGTTCGCAGAGGGCGCGGACCCCCCCACCCCCGCCCCGGGAACTTTCCACAGGCCACCTGGCTTCCTTCTTCTCGCTGCACCTGACGCTAGGACAGCTAGGGGCTCCTTGGGTCCTGCAGCTGCCCTAAAATACCTTCTGGGGAACACAGCCCTCCAGCTCCAGCAGCTCCGGCCAGCCCTCATATTTGTTCGTGTCTGGGTTGTTCTTTAAGAACTAGAGAGAGAGAGAGGAGAGAGAGAAAGAGAGAGTAACACGGACCATGGGGGAGGCTGTTCAGGAGTCAGACCTGAGTTTTCACTGTGCTTTAAGACCTCCTGCCTTCACTCACTCTGCCCTGGCTTCAGCCCCATGCGGAGGCGGCTGTGGTGTGGGATAGGACCAGCCCATTTCACAGGTGGGGAAACTGAGGTGCAGAGGGATGGCCATGTGCCCAAGGTTTTACAGAGGAGATCAGAGCTCAGTCCTCGCCTGTCCTGCCCTGGGGGGGTGGGGTACCAAGCACTGGGGGGCAGGCTTGCAGAACGTTAGCTCCTCTGCCAAATTCTCCATCAGCCTTTCTAGGACACCCCCAAACAACCAGCACAACAATGAAAAGAGGCATCCTCGCAATTCGTGAACACTTGCTCTATGCCAGGTGCAAAGTGCCTTATGTATTTATTTCTTACAATAGCCCTAAGAAGGGCATACCATTACCATCCCATTCTGCAGATGGGGAACCTGAGGCACAGAGGGCCAAAGTAACCCTGGGGCAGAACCGCTGTGTAATAATAATAATAAATATAGAGAGAATAAAATCAGTTAAGATGGTGTTTAAAGTGCCTAGGCTTAGTTTATGGAGGAAAAAAATGTAAATAGCAAAATCTGCCTGTGGAATAATTGTGGCCCACCCTCAGGGATAAAAGTTATTCTAGATGCTACGTCTCTAAAACCCAGAACCGCATGCGTGGGAACAAAGGACCTAATGGTTCCGCTCAATCATGGTCTCCAGTTCATTCTGGGTGATGGGTCTGCCCATCCGCCCCTTGCACAGGTATGCTCTGGAGCCCCACTCTGCCGCCTGTGTTCTTCACCAGGAGGCTATAGAGGGCTCCCTCCTTGTCTCCTCCAGCACAAGCTACTTTGTACCACCATCTCAAAAAAGTAACTTCTAACAACCTGAATTCATTCTCTTAGAAACTCACACATACAAACCAGGCCAGCATTTTCCAGACAAGGCAAAAACCCTTGCAGCCCATTGTGGTCCCAGCCCATTGTGGTCCCCGCACCTGGAGTCTAGCGTCTTGAGGTGGTTGCTCCCCTGCCTCCCACAGCCCCTCCCCTGCAGGCTGCTGTGCCTTGGGTCTGATTACCGCCTGGGCCTCCTCCCTGTGCTCAGTCAGGGAGGCTGTGCTAAAAGCATCAGGACGGGAATCTGTGTGGAGGCCGCCAGACCTGGATGAGAGCTACATCTGCATCAGATCCAAACAAGCGGGCTAAAACCTCTCCTCCGGGGGTACCTGGGTGGCTCAGTCGTTAAGCGTCTGCCTTCAGCTCAGGTCATGATCCTAGGGTCCTGGGATCGAGCCCCGCATCGGGCTCCCTGCTCTGAGGGAAGCCGGTTCTCCCTCTCCCACTCCCCCTGCTTGTGTTCCCTCTCTCGCTGTGTCTCTGTCAAATAAATAAATAAAATCTTAAAAAAAAATAAATAAATAAAACCTCTCCTCGGCTCCAGATCCTCGACTGTGGGGTGGGAGCAGAATTGTACCTACTTCATTGCGGGAATTAAAGAAGGCGCTGCAGGTAACTTGCTCAGCCGAGCCTGCACAGAGCAAGTGCTTGCTGAATGCTAGTGTTTCTTATGTATCAATCTGCTCTTGTCGCTTTTCCGCTTAAGCCTTCCATGGCTCCCCACTGCCTTCAGGATAGAGTTCACTCTCCTCCGTAGTCTTGTATGTCCGAATCATCAACTCTTAGCTGCCTGCCTTGGAATCTGGGCAGAGCTGAATATTCTCACCACCAGACAATGGACTACATCAGGCCAGGGAAGATCTGGCTAGTTCTCCCACATTTGGGAATTGCTCTGAGCTGGGGATGCAGGTGCGGGACAGGGAGAGAAGGTTCAGCATTTCTCTGGAGGCTCCACCCCATCGTCGACTCCCCTTTCCTCCCCTGAGCACTCCTGAGACTCCAGACTCTGCTTGGGACCTGGGTAGTGGCTGTGGAACCACATGTCATGGACCACTCCTGACCCCTTCCATGTACTCAGGTGGGCTCGCCTGTTTTTTTTTTTTTTTTTTTTAAAGATTTTTATCTATTTATTTGACAGAGAGACAGAGAGAGAGGGAACACAAGCAGGGGGAGTGGGAGAGGGAGCAGGCCTCCTGCTGAGCGGGGAACCCCATGTGGGACTCCATCCCAGACCCTGGGGTCATGACCTGAACCGAAGGCAGACGCCAGGTGCCCCCAGGCGCCCCCTGTGTCCTCCTCTTGATGCAAATTTAACCTCTCCCAAGGTTTAGACCTCTCCCCTCTGGTGGGGAGCCTGAGGCCCGGGGCAGGGGAGTGGAGAGAGAGAGAGGCTTGGCTTAGGTTTCCTTTGGGACCAGAAGCCAGACACCCCGCCCCCTGCTCTACCCATCATGCAGCCTTCATCTCTGCGTTCCTTTCTCTTTTTCCCATTCCTCACTTCCCTCCGCCTTCTTCTCTTCCTTCTCCTTTCTGGTACTTATCCATTTATATATGACCCAGATCCTTGCAAAACGGTCAAGGCTACGTCCCGCTGAGGGATTAGCCGGTTGGGCCACCCTGACCTCTGAGGTCCCCACACTGTCCCGCCCAAGCCACCCTAGTGCTTGTCCATCCATCCCTGGCACCTTACCCCCACCTGCCTCACCAGGATGGGGAGGCCGCCAGGAACTCACCTGCTCAAAAGGGCTTTTATCCTTGAGGTCTTTGGCCCCTAAGAAGACCCAGCTATCTCTGAAGCCCAGCTGGTTTGCATAGGAACTGCCCAAGCTGGAGAGGAGCTTCCTGGTCTCATCATTCATTCTGCAGAGGACCAGAGAGGACAGTGAGGTGGAGGGTGGGGGAGAGAGGGGCAAGGTTCTCAAGCACTTGGCCTACCCTCTGCCCCACCGTCCGCCGGGTGCAGCAGCTATGCTGTGCAGGGTTGTGCTCAGAAGGAACAGGGCCGAGCGGCCACTAGTACGGGTTTGCTTCTGTTTACAAATATACATGTTTATTTGGAAAATATAGAACATCACAGAGGAACTAGAAATTACAGTTTTGACATAATCACTGTAACATCTTAATGTATTTCCTTAATATCTTTGTTCCCCACGCACTGGGGGATCATACCAATGCTTTTATAACGTTTTGTTTTCACTTAATACTAAGGGGTGAGCATTCTTCCATATCCTTAAATTATTTTCTCTATCATTTTTGATGTAGTAGATCCTCTTCTATGTACATATAATGTCACATATCAACATGTGTCATAATTTCTGTAACTAGTTGGTCTTTACTGGACAGGGACAGTGTGTCCAGCTTTCCAATGTTGTAACTGAGGCTGTGGTGAGCCTCCATGAACATGTCGTCATGCACTGGTCTGGTTATTTCCCCAGGAGAAGCTGCCAGAAGACAGAGCCAGCGGAAGAGCAGGGAAAAGGCACTTAGGACTTGGAAGAATTTGGTTCCCTTCAACCCACGGCCAGGCAGGTGGACGTTCCCACTTACTTGGTTCCTGGGTCATCATAGGAGGCCATTAGCACCAGAGTGCCCTCTGGGATGTCTTTAAGGAATTTTACCAGGAGCTTAACATCTGGGGGAGGAAGAAAAGTGGGGTGCTGTGTCATTTATGGGAAATGACCACTGGTCATTCTCATTCTCTGCTACTGCCCTGAAGATCCAGGTGTGGCCGGGGGCAGGCTGACACGGAGGTCCACCTGAAGCTCAGGGGCCAGCAGGAGGTGACACCTTGGGTGAAGCTCCCTGCAGCCCTCTCCAGGGGAGAGAAAAGTGCATGGAGCAAAGGTGCCCTCATGCAGGTGGTCAGGGGTGGACACTGGAATTTAAAAGTTCCACAGGAAGATTCTGATGTGCAGCCAGGAGTGAGAGACATTGTTCTAAGGGCCCTTGGGGACCTGTAGCTGAGGAATGGAGCGCAGTCATCTCTCAGGAACTCTCGGCTCTTTGCACACCCCCTGCCACCTCCTTCTATGCTGGTTAAGAACCTGTCTGTGCTGACTTTAGAGGAGATCCACCGCACCACAGGCAACGCAGGTCACTGAGCGAGATCATCAGTGTCCTACAGTTCTCCAGCTTATGCCAAGGAGCAAACCTCCCTTTGCATCTTTAACACCTCCTTGCACTTGTGAAATCTCTGCACTTACCAGAGAGCAGGCCTAGGTGCAGCGCCTGGTGGAGGCATCAGCACCCAGCTCGCTTCAAGGACATGGGTTTGTTTCCATTGTGCTTATTTTTATGGTCACCTTTCCTGCATAAAAACTGATAACTTAGGGCAGTGATATAATTTCCTTTTAAGATAGATTTATTTAGGTTAAAAAAAGTGAGTTTATTCAAAGGAAAATACTAATAATTCAGATGGTACTCTGAATATGGTGTAACTTGTGCAGGGGGCTCTTGAATGGTTGAGGAAGTATGGGCAAGATTGGCCTAGTGGGATAAGTAGGGGGCCACATCTGTCACATGAGGATGATTCGTAGCCCTGCCCATAGCATTTTTGTAAACAGCACATGTGACGATGACTCTGGGCATACAGAAAGTGCACTATAATGGAATTATAATTATTAGCAGGATCAGTGACATAATTTTCAGAGCCCAGTGAAAAATGAAAATGTGGAGCCTTTTGTTAAAAAATGAAGCATTTCAAGACAGGTGAAGGTAGAGCATCAGACCAAACCTGAGTTTGCTCTAGGTGCAGGGCTGTATGGCTGCCCTGCCCACAGGCCCACACCCATGAAGATGAGCCAGTTCTTAGTATTCCCCAGTGATCCCTTGGACCTAGGAGAAGAATCAAATCCTGAAAGCAAGGCCAGCTGCCAACCAGCTCAGTAACACAGAGGCCTGCAGTCAGTGACCACAGAGGCTCTGTTAGGGAAACGGCCCTTGAACTCCTGAGATAAAAGAGGGAACTCTGAAAATCAGTTGGAGCCGTTAGCTCCAGATATCAAGATCTGTTCTTGTCTGGGATGGACAGTAATGTTTGGAAAAAAATGAAGTGTGCCTTCTATTAATTATCCTCTCACTTTAAGAAGTCATTGCCTTCTTTTATCTCTTGTGGGAAGGGGCAACTTGTCCTCAAATGCTTCTGTTTCTGGGTCCCCATCAGCCATCGTTACATCCATGTTCATAATAGAGCAGTACAAAATTTAGTTTAAATTATTTTTTACCCTTTTTGACAACCTACAAAATGGGAGAAGATATTTGCAAATGACATATCAGATAAACGGCTAGTATCCAAAATCTTTAAAGAACTTAAACCTGACACCCAAAGAGTAATCCAATCAAGAAATGGGCAGAAGACATGAATAGCCATTTCTCCAAAGACAACATACAAATGGCCAAAAAATAATGAAAAAATGCTCTACATCACTCGGCATCAGGGAAATACAAATCAATACCACAATGAGAGACCACCTCACACCAGTCAGAATGGCTAAAATTAACAGCTCCAGCAACAGGTGTTGGCAAGGATGCGGAGAAAGGGGAACCTCCTACACTGTTGGTGGGAATGCAAGCTGGTGCAGCCACTCTGGAACACAGTATGGAGGTTCCTCAAAAAGTTGAAAATAGAGCTACCCTAGGACCCAACAATTGCACTACTAGGTATTTACCACAAAGATACAAATGTAGTGACCTGAAGGGGCACATGCACCCCAATATTTATAGCAGCAATGTCCACAATAGCCAAACTATGGAAAGAGCCTAGATGTCCATCAACAGATGAATAGATATGGTATACATACATACAAGGGACTACTACTCAGCCATCAAAAAAAAAAAATGAAATCTTGCATTTGCAATGATGTGGATAGAACTAGAGGGTGTTATGCTAAGCAAAATAAGTGAATCAGAGAAAGACAATTATCATATGATCTCGCTCATATGGAATTTAAGAAACAAAACAGAGAAGGGAAGAAAAAAATAAAACAAGATGAAATCAGAGAGGGAGACGTACCATAAGAGAGGCTTAACTCCAGGAAACAAACTGAGGGTTGCTGGGGGTGGGGGTAGGTGGATGGGGCAACTGGGTGATGTAATGAGCACTGGGTGTTATAGATGAATCACTGAACTCTACCTTTGAAACTAACAATACTCTATATGTTAGTTGAATTTAAATAAAAATTTTAACCCTTTTTATTCTGACAATGACCTCCCTGCTTCATGAGTCATGTGGATGGAGGGAGGGAGGAGGGGAGGGGAGGGAAGGGAGAAGGCTGAATGCACCCTGGGCCCCTCCCACTGATTGGTGCCAGGTCCTACCCAATCCCCTAGATCCGTCTCCTGAAGCGGACACTGTGGTTTACCGCTATTTTACAGATGACAAAACTGAAGTTCACAAGATGACACCTGCCTCAGCCTGAAGTCTTTGATTCCAGAGACTGGACCTTTTCCATAAACCTGGCCCCGGGCCACCCCGAACACGTGCAGGGTCCTGGACAGAGGACACATGATGATCTCTGGCCCTCGGCCCACCGCCTGCCCCACCATCTCCTCACCCGTCTCCAGCTCTGTCCTGCACCAGGAGGGGCCTCGCGTGCCTGCACGTGGACACCCCCAGCCTGCCCGGCCAAGCTCCGTCCTCCCCCCACCTCCTCAGCCACTGCCAAGCCCTGGCCAGCCCTCGGTCTGCGTGGGGCTTGATGCAGGCTGCTGGTTGGCACATCCTTGGGCCCTGCAGACCCTACCTGTGAGGTGGGACTCGCTGGAGGATGGCCATCAGGGAACCCAGGGGACCCTCTGAAGCCCTGGGCCCAGGACAGGGCACCAGCTGCTGTCTCCAAGCCTGGTGCTGCAGATCACCTTCCCAACGTTCCCAGCTGTGACTGCTGGGCACCCGATTCCCACTGCCTGCCTTTCAGCTCCCCCTCCTTTGTTTGCAAAGCCAAGAGGGCTTCTCCCTTTCTTGCTGCCTTTGTCCCCTCTGGGCCTCATGTGTTTAGGTGGGCACAGGAAGGTAGGGATGCCCGAGCCCAGAGCCGGCCTTGAGATCACTGGCACAGGGGAGGGAAACTGGAGCTGAGCTGAACTCTGAGAAGGGGGCTGAGCTCAGTTCATCCGTCTCGATGGAAACCCGTCCTTGCAGGACCCAGATGTCTGCTGCCTGCAAGGGCTGCCCTGCTGCTTCTTCACTCCTGGGTGAGACTTCCGGGTCAGAGGGAGGCAGGCAGGTTGCCAGCGAGGCAGTGGGTGGCATACTGAGTTTGGGACGGATTCCACCGTGTTTTAGAAGATGTCAGGATTGTTGGGTGAGACTCCCGCCCCCAGCACGGCTTGGCCAGGCAGCCTGGGGCTGAAGAAGCTGCTGGAGGGAATGTCCAGCCCAGGTAGGGCAGGGTCCTGTCCCCAGGCTGTGCTAAGAGTGGGGAAGACAGTGGGGAGGTCACATGCCCAGAGTGTGCAGAGAGGGAAGAAAAGACATCTGCAGAAAGACGCAGAGAGCTTGGAGCCTCAGAGCGATCCCTTATGGGCCTTGGGAGGCCTGTCCTGTCCTTGGGCCCAAGAGAGACCCCTGTGGCCTTAAAATAAAATACCTTTTACCTAGCAGAGCAAACTGGGCCATGTGCCCTTGTCCTTAGCACTTGAGTGTGCAACTGCTTGGCCTCCAAAAGCCAGCACCAGTGTTTCTTTGCCTTAAGGTCCTCTCTTACCTCCAGATCCTCCTCTGTGCCCTGGGGCAAGCCAGGCATGTGGGAAGTGCCAAGGAACTAGGGGTGGGGAGTGCCCCAGCTCCCTTGCCCCTCTGAGATCTGAGGCATGTACTTGACACCGGCTCCCGAGTTCCAACTGCCTGCAGCATTCAGCCTGGTAACACACTGTTCTGGCTGTCTCCCTCTCCCTGTCTCGCTCCCTGCTGGCATTTCCTGAGATCACCTCTTCCCAAATAAACTGTTGCACCTGACTCCTGGTCTCAGGATCTGCACCCAGGAGAGTCCAACTAAGTAAGACAGCAGAAAGGAGCTTCAAAGACAGCAGGATGGTCCTCCACCCCCACCATGCTTCTTTCTGGTCATCTTCTCTGGAGACGAGAGCTGAGCATCCCAGCACCCCGCTGGCTCTCTTGCCATAGGAGCTCAGCCCACCCTGTGCCCTCAGTGCCAACAGAGGTGCCTACCTCCAGAGTACATGTCGAAACATTTCTGCGTCAGCACTATTCCTGTGGTTCCTGTGCATGAGAGAGCAAAACTGTGATTTCCTGAAACAGGTCATCCTGCCTATTGTTTTGCAGAAAATGGCTACTCTTTAGTCTAAGATCTAAAAATGGAATAATAATGGAGTCAAGTCAGCTCCTATAGAAAGCCTGCAGGACTGAGTAGGGGCCCAGTAACTTCTGGGCTGATCCGAGAGGTACAAGGACAAAATGGTGAAGGATCTCTGGAATTGAACGGTATCCAACCAATCTGGGTCTGTGTTCTGCCTTGCCACTTCCTAACGCACCGCTTAGTATTTTGACCTCAATTGTTGCATCTGAACAATGGGCTATGGGAACTAAGGGAGATGTATTTAAACTAGGTAGTAAACATACAAGACAAATTTTAGCTGGAAAACAGTAATAAAAATAACTGCAATCATTATCATTATTTCTTCCTAAATAGGACATCTGAATCCTCCAACTCTTGAAGGCAAAGGGATTTGCAGTGGGCTGAATGTACTCAAAGCTCTGAGTCCAGTCAGCTGAATCGTGTTTGTGTATTTTGCAAAGGGTCCAAGTACTACAGGGAACCAGGTATTTGGGGGAAGTCGCAGTTCTCACTCTCTGCCACTAGATGGGGGTGTTGCAGAGGGGATGGCAGCTCTATATTTTCTCCCCGGGTCGCTCCCCCCTCAAGCCAGTTTGTGGATCCCTGAAGAGGGTAGGGACAGGGGTCTAGATAGTGGAGGCTCTCCTGCTGGGTGGGTGGGTGGGAGTTTACACTGCAGCCCTTCCTGGATTCTCAGACACCAGTGCAGGCTCCTTGGAACGGGGTGGGGGGCGGGTAGGGGTCTATGCACACATGAAACTGATCATGTTCATTTGTGTATTTTTCTGGAATTAGGGGGAGGAGGTATAGTTTGAAGTTTCTTAAAGGAATCTCTGCCCCCTAAAAGACTGAAAACCACCAATCTTTAGCAATCCTTGCTGGCTTAATATACAGATGAGACCGCGAGGCCCGGAGATTGATTCCTTGGACTTCTCCACAGCTAGCATGCAGTAGATGCTTCGAGAGGTTCTTAGTCTAGGGAAGTTAGTTCAGCTGAGTGATTACAACCTGGAGTCAGTCAGATCCAGGTTCAAATCTAGATGATTCTATCGGCTGGGTAACCTTGGGCACGAGGCCTAACCTCTCTGAGCCTCCACTTTCTTACCTGGAACATGGGGATACAGTGCACAACTCCACTCTGGCATGCGGAGGAGGCTGAATGAAATAGCTAGCGCACAGCAAAGCCTCCATAAACGTTAGCTCTTGGTGTTACTGATGCTTGTTTTTGTCTTTGCGCTTTATGACGGGAAGAGGAGGAGGCCCTAGTCTGAGCCTGTCTCCTGGGAGACTATTCAAAGAGGTCTTCTTCTGCAGTGGCCCATTTCAGGGAGGAGAGAACCAGCAGGTTTCAGCCAGATGGGCTGTGGCCAGGGCAAGCTCCTGCGCAGTGGGGAGGGTTCGGGGATGGGGGGTGAGCGGGGATTAGGTAGAATAGCCTCTGTGCCCTCCCGGGAGGAAGGACCTGCCACTGGAGTGAATCAGGCCTCGCTCTCCTTCTCAAGACTTTGGAGGGGGCATGCCCTGCTCAGCCTCCTGCCCCTCCCAGGCCCCACCTTTCTTGGGCTTCCCGGAAGTTGACCAGGGCTGCCTTCTGACCTCCTGTTCTGGGTAAGGCTCCATTTTTGCTCCAGGCTTTGACCTTTCCCCTGATTCAGCAGGATTTCTTGGCAGAAGGGAGATGGCTCCCCTAGGAGCAACCAATCCAATCCCTGTCACTTCCTAAGTGTGTTCACCTGGTCATGCCACATACACACGCCTGGCCTTTTCCTTCCTGTCTGCTGTGCCCTTTGTCCACTTGCCCTGACTTTTGTCCCAGGAAGTGGCTCTTAGATTCAGGGAATTGGCCTTTGCTCTCCATCTCATCCACGCCTCCCCGAAGGCAGAGAGGAGGGTCTTGGCCAGGGCAGAACACCTGGTCCTGACTCTGTCCCTGTAAACCCACCCCCTCCTGAAATGTGTCCCTGTTTCAGGCTTGGCCTGCAGTTGCTCCCTGCAAGAGATGCAGCGTAGTGAGGCTGTGGGCCTCCCCCCAACATCTCCCTGCCTCCAGCCTCCCTACTCCAAGCTGGAAGGAAGTTTCTGGAATGCAGGGCTAGGCCCTCACACCCTGCTCATAGCCTTTATGAGGCTCCCTATTGTCCTTAGCTTCAAGCCCCTACTTCTTAGCAGGACGCTTAGCCCCTCACCCTGCCATCCTGCCTGCCCCCCTTCCCTGCTGTACCTGTCACCCCTCCTTCTCTGGTGCATCCAGAAAGACCCTGTGTGGCCCCCAATCCCTCTCCCCACTCCTTCCTTCTCTGCTCCCTGCACAGTGTTGCCCCAGCCTCAAAGGAGCCTCCCCTACTTTTCTGGCCAACTCCTATTATCCTTCAGGCCTCAGCTGACCAACACCTCTCTCTGGAAGCCTCTCCTGATGACCCCCATCCCCAGCTCTGTGTCCCAGTTCTCGGGGCTGTGCTTCCTTGTCCTTCACAGATGCTCACCCCATTGGATTGGAAGTCAACTTCATGGACACCACAGGGTAGCTGCTGTCAGTATTTGTTGAATGAGAGAATAAAAGTGTGCAATGACCTCATCACCTCACATTGTTGGTGGTTGTCCCCCCATGGTTTCGTGTGTTGGTTTAGGCTGCATGGCCTTGAGGATGGGGTCATGCTTCACAGGAGAAGCTTATCCTCCTGGGATAGCTGTACACAGCAGAGGCCTGGTCAAGACTCTGGAAAGTAGGACCAGGTCTTTTAGATCCTTTGTCCCCATAAGCTTCCCCTCCCATGCACTAGAGGATGGCCCCAGGCATGTGGTAGGAGCTAAGTCAGTGTTGGCTGAATGAGTGTTAACTACCTCCCCATACCCCCCGCCTGCAATACTAAGAGCATGGTGGGGGCTATCTGGGGGGTGGATCAGCAGCTCACCATTCACCAGGGCAATGTTCAAGCCTCTGCCCACGTTGTTTTTCACAGGACTCATGATCCTGAAGAAGAAGAAAAACAAAATACAACGGTTGGTCCCAAGTGTGGAGCGAACACTCTGCTTTTGTGACTCTGGAACTCTGAGGGGGCCCACATGACGCTATGCAGAAGCATTAGGAAACAGAATAATTTGGGCCATCTGTTTTCTCTTGGAAATGAGTGGTGGGCTGGATTCTCTGAGGTATGCTCATGGCATGTTTGGACGAGAACAGTCTGCTTGGAAAAGAGGGAAGGTCCCTGCTGGGGGCTCTGAGGTGTTGGAGGTGGGACCGGCCCACCTTCCCCAAGCAGTGAGGCCCAGCTGCTGGGAAGAAGGCAGAACCCAGAGCGTTGCTGCCATCCTGCAGAGGCTGGGATTGCTGTGTGCGGTCTGGCTGTGTTGCTGCCTGCCTAGCATCCACAGCCCAGTCTTCTGGTGTTTCTTGGGAAAACTGTCCTTCTCTACTCTCAGACTAGGTAGTTCTCAGGACTGACCTCAGTCTTCCAGGCCCGGACAAGTAGAGCATCCTGTGTCCCTGCTCACGGTGACTGAGCCAGGTATGGTCATGTGACCCAGGCCAGCCAATGAAACTCAGTCTTGGGACTTTTATAGGGATAATTTGGATGGGAAAGTTCTCTTTCCAGTGGGGTGCCAGCTTCAGCTGCTTTGTCAGCCAGCTAGTGGCCTCCCTCCTTCACAGGAAGCAATCCATTTTCATGTTGAGACAACTGAATCTAACAAAAGAGAACAGAGCTAAAGATGGTGTGAGAGGGACCCCTGATGACATGATTTAAATGCCTGGATCCAGCTGGTCCTGAAGCCTGCTATCTGTGCATTTTGTATATGGGAATCACTAAGTTCCTTCTTTTGCTCAAGTGAGTTGGAGTTAGGTTCAAAATCCCTACTTTTTAAAAAAAGATTTCATTTATTTATTTGAGAGAGAAAGAAAGAATGAGCGGGAGGAGGCACAGAGTGCCTCTAGATGGGGGTGTTGCGCAGAGCAGGGACCCCGATGTGGGGCCTGATCCCAGGACCCTGGGATCATGACCTGAGCTGAAGGCAGACGTTCTAACTGACTGAGCCACCCAGGCGCCCCAGAATCCCTATTAAAACACCTGTTTCAAGAGAAAATCCTGAAAGCAGCTTGGGACAAGAGGTCCTTATCCTACAAGGGTAGACAGTAAGGCTGGCTGCAGACCTGTCCACACAGACCTGGCAGGCCAGGAAGGACTGGCATGATTTATTCAGGGTGCTAAATGAGAAAAATATGCAGCCAATAATACCTTATTCAGCAAGGCTGTCATTCAGACTAGAAGGAGAGATAAAGAGCTTTCAGGACAAAAAGATACTAAATCTGTGATCACTAAACCAGCCCTACAGGAAATATTAAAAGGGATTCTTTAAGCAAAGAGAGGGCCCAAAAGTAACATAGATCAGAAAGGAACAGAGACAATATACAGAAACAGTGACTTTACAGGTAATAATACTATGGCACTAAATTCATATCTTTCAATAGCTACTCTGAATGTAAATGGGCTAAATGTTCCAATCAAAAGACACAGGCTATCAGATTGGATAAAAAAGCAAGACCCATTGATATGCTGTCTACAAGAGACTCATTTTAGATCCAAAGACACCTCCACGTTGAAAGTGAGGGGCTGGAGAACCACTGATCATGCTAATGGACATCAAAAGAAAGCTGGGTTGGCAATCCTTATATCAGACAAATTAGATTTTAAACCAAAGACAGTAATAAGAGATGAGGAAGGACACTATATCATAATTAAAGGGTCTATCCAACAAGAAGATCTAACAGTTGTAAATATTTATGCCCCTAACATGGGAGCAGCCAATTATATAAACCAATTAATAACAAAATTAAAGAAACACACCGATAATATACTAATAGTAGGGGACTTTAACACTCCACTCACAGCAATGGACAGATTGAGCAGAAGATCAACAACGACACAAGGGCTTTGAATGACACACTGGACCAGAATGACTTCACAGATACATTCAGAGCATTCCATCCTAAAGCAATAATATACATTCTTCTCAAGTGCACATGGAACATTCTCCAGAATAGATCACATACTGAGTCACAAATTAGGTATCAACCAGTACCAAAAGACTAGGATTATTCCCTGCATATTTTCAGACCACAATGCTTTGAAACTAGAACTCAATCACAAGAGGAAATTTGGAAGGAACAGAAATACATGGAGGTTAAAAGAGCATCCTACTAAAGAATGAATGGGTCAACCAGGAAATTAAAGAATTTAAAAAATTCATGGAAAGAAATGAAAATGAAAACACAACTGTTGTAAACTTTTGTGATGCAGCAAAGGTGGTCCTAAGAGGGAAGTATATAGCAACACAGGCTTTTCTCAAGAAACAAGAGAAGTCTCAAGTACACAACCTAACCTTACACCTAAAAGAGCTAGAGAAAGAACAGCAAATAAACCCTAAACCCAGCAACAGAAGAGAATTAAAAGAGATTAGAGCAGATTAAGGAGGGCACATATTGAATGGAGCACTGGGTGTTATAGGCAAACAATGCATCATGGAACACTACATCAAAAACTAATGATGTAATGTTTGGTGACTAACATTAATAAAATTAAAAGATTAGAGCAGAAATCAATGAAATAGAATCTAAAAGAATAGTGGAACAGATCAACAAAATTAGGAGATGGTTCTTTGAAAGAATTAATAAGATCCATAAATCCCTAGCCAGACTTATCAAAAAGGAGAAAGGACCCAAGCAAATAAAATCATGAATGAAGGAGTAGAGATCACAACCAACACCAAATACAAAAAATGGTAAGAACATACTATGAGCAACTATATGCCAACAAATTAGGCAATCTGGAAGAAATGGATGCATTCCTGGACACTTATAAACTACCAAAACTGAAACAGGAAGAACTAGAAAACCTGAACAGACCCATAACCAGCAAGGAAATTGAAGCAGTAATCAAAAGTCTCCCAACCAACAAGAGTCCAGGGCCGGATGGCTTCCCACGAGAATTCTACCAAACATTTAAAGAAGAATTAATACCTATTCTTCTGAAGCTGTTTCAAAAAATAGAAATGGAAGGAAAACTTCCAAACTCATTTTATGAGGCCAGCATTACCTTGATCCCAAAACCGAACACCCCACCAAAAAGAATTATAGACCAATATCCCTGATGAACATGGATGCAAAAATTCTCACCATGATACTAGCCAACAGGACCCAACAATAATACATTAAAAGGATTATTCACCATGACCAAGTGGGATTTATCCCTGCGCTGCAAAGGTGGTTCAACACCCATAAGTCAATCAATGTGATACACCACATGAATAAAAGAAAAAACAAGATCCATATGATCCTCTCAATAGATGCAGAAAAAGCATTTGACAAAGTACAGCATCCTTTCTTGATTTAAACTCTTCACAGTGTAGGGACAGAGGGAACATACCTCAATATCATAAAAGCCATGTATGAAAAGCCCACAGCGAATCTCATTCTCAGTGGGGAAAAACAGAGCTTTTACCCTAAATTCAGGAACAGGACAGGGATGTCCACTATCACCACTGTTGTTCAACAGAGTACTAGAAGTCCTAGCCTCAGCAATCAGACAACAAAAAGAAATAAAAGGCATCCAAATCGGCAAAGTAGTCAAACTCTCACTCTTTGCAGATGACATGATACTCTATGTGGAAAACCCAAAAGATTCCACCCCAAAATCACCAGAACTAATACAGGAATTCAGCAAAGTGGCAAGATATAAAATCAATGCACAGAAATCAGTTGCATTTCTATACACTAAAAATGAGAAGAAAGAAATTAAGGAATTGATCCCATTTACAATTGCACCAAAACCATAAGATACCTAGGAATAAACCTAATCAAAGAGGCAAAGGATCTGTACTCTGGAAACTATAGAACACTCATGAAAGAAATTAAGACAGAAAGAAATGGAAAAACTTTCCATGCTCATGGACTAGAAGAACAAATATCGTTAAAATGTCTATGCTACCTACAGCAATCTATACATTCAATGCAATCCCTATCAAAATAGCATCAGTTTTTTTTAGAGTGGAACAAATAATCCTAAAATTTGTACGGAACTAGAAAAGACCCTAAATTGCCAGGGGAATGTTGAAAAAGAAAAGCAAAGCTGGTGGCATCACAATTCCAGACTTCAAGCTCTATTACAAAGCTGTAATCAAGACAGTATGGTACTGGCACAAAAACAGACACATAGATCAATGGAACACAATCGAGAACCCAGAAATGGACCCTTAACTCTATGGTCAACTCGTCTTCAACAGAGCAGGAATGCATATCCAATGGAAAAAAGACAGTCTCTTCAACAAATGGTGTTGGGAAAACTGGACAGCCACCTGCAGAAGAATGAAACTGGACCATTTCCTTACACCACACACAAAAATAAACTAAAAATGGATTAAAGACCTAAACGTCAGACAGGAATCCATCAAAATCCTAGAGAACACAGGCAGCCACCTCTGTGACCTCAGCTGCAGCAACTTTTTGCTAGACACATCTCCAGAGGCAAGGGAAACAAAAGCAAAAATGAACTATTGGGACTTCATCAAGATAAAAAGCTTTTGCACAGCAAAGGAAACAGATGACAAACCAAAAGATAACCTACAGGATGGAAGAAGGTATTTGCAAATGACGTATCAGGTAAAGGGCTGGTTTCCAAAATCTATAAAGAACTTACCAAACTCAACACCCAAAGAACACATAATCCAATCAAGAAATGGGCAGAAGACATGAACAGCCATTTCTCCAAAGACAACATACAAATGGCCAAGACACATGAAAAAGTGCTCAACATCGCTCGGCATCAGGGAAATACAAATCAATACCACAATGAGATATCACCTCACACCAGTCATAATGGCTAAAATTAACAACTCCAGAAACAACAGGTGTTGGCGAGGATGCAGAGATAGGGGAACCTTCCCACACTGATGATGGGAATGCAAGCTGGTGCAGCCACTCTGGAAAACAGCATGGAAGTTCCTCAAGAAGTTAAAAATAGAGCTACCCTACAACCCAACAATTGCATTACTAGGTATTTATCCAAAGGATACAAACATAGTGATCTGAAGGGGCACCTGCACCCCAATGTTTATAGCAGCAATGTCCACAAAAGCCAAACTATGGAAAGAGCCCAGATATCCGTTGACAATGAATAGATAAAGAAGATGTGGTATATATCTACAATGGAGTATTACTCAGCCATGAAAAAGAATGAAATCTTGCCACTTGCAAAGAGGTGGATGAACTAGAGAGTGTTAAGTGAAATAAGTCAGTCAAATACAAATACCATATGATTTTACTCACATGTGGAATTTAAGAAACAAAACAGATAACATAGGGGAAGGGAAGGAAAAATAAAATAAGATGAAAATAGAGAGGAGGCAAACCATGAGAGAGTCTTAATCATAGGAAACAAACTGAGGGTTGCTGGAGGGGAGGTGGGTGGGGGGGGATGGGGTAACTGGGTGATGGGCATCGAGGGCACATGATGTGATGAGCACTGGGTGTTGTGTGCTACCGATGAATCACTAAATTCTACCTCTGAAACTAATAATACAGTATATGTTAATTAAACTGAATTTAAATAAATAAAAATAAATAAATAAAACATCAGTCTCTGGCTCCTTTTGTAGGATGAACTTACTGCCCCAGGGCCTTTACCATCTGGTTTGGACAATGGGTACATAGTCTTTGTCTTGCACCTGGATGGAAGCCCTGGCATCTGCTGCATCTCAACTTTGATGCCTGGATCTTGATTTTGAACTCTCCCCAGAGGCACTCCCCTTTATAGGAAGCCCAGGAGCTTGGCTGTCAGGCAGACCTGCGTTCAAAATCCTGACTCTGCCACCATTCAGCTGGGTAATGCTATCTGAGCCTCCATTTCCTCATCTTTGCAAAGGGGATAATCGTAGCCCCACCTCTGGGAGGGTTAGGGGATTGAATGAGAGGAAGCCGGGAAGCATTTAGCGAGGTGCTGGCCGATGGGGAAGCTGTTCGGGTTATTGTTATTTGTGACTCATCCACCCAGAGGAAAAGGACGTGAGTGGAAGGTGTGGGCCGGTCACAGGGCCTACCCTTGCAGCCTCCGAATTTCCGAATGAACCAATGAAAAGAAAGGAAACGCAAGAAACTTACACAAGGTTTTCGAAGCACATGGTGGGGCCCACGACGTTAGCGGCTCCGCTGCTGATTTTAAAGGCAAAGAAGTTGTCGGGGCAGGGCTTGCTGAGACCACACTTGGTCCTCACGACCGCTGTGGAGGGAACAGACCAACCTCGGTGGCGGCCGCTGGGGAAGGGGCTCGGGAGGAGTCAGGGGAGCGGCCAGCCGGGGAGCAGGCTCAGCAGGCGAGGGGCTGGGGGGGGGCAGGCTCAGCAGGCGAGGGGTCGGTGTGGGGGGCAGGCTCCGGACCCAGGGCAGAGGCCTCCTCTCCAAGGCGCCTTTGCAGACCTACTGAGTCGGGGGCAGGCTCAGCAGGCGAGGGGTCGGGGCGGGGGGCAGGCTCAGCAGGCGAGGGGCCGGTGTGGGGGGCAGGCTCCGGACCCAGGGCAGAGGCCTCCTCTCCAAGGCGCCTTTGCAGACCTACTGAGTCGGGGGTGGTGGTGGTGGTGGTGGGGGGATTTGCCCCTTTCTGCGCATGGTGCCTCCAGCCATCCCCGTCGAAGACGCAGGACACCGGCTGTGTGTCTGACCACCCTCGAGTTTTTCAGGGTTTCCGCTACAGCTCTAGCTGGGGCGCTGAGCCTGGTTCTAACTAAGACCCGCGTCCTCTCCACGTGGCGCTCACAGGGCGGACCCAGAGGCCCGAGAAAGGTGGGGGATGTATGAAAGACCCCCAACCACAGCTGCCGATGCTTGGCCCTCCATGGACTCCTTGTAAGCTGGGTTATCTGTCACCTGCGCTTACAGCCTGGCAGGTTCTAATTTATATTAATGCGTGTTGTGTGTGTGTTTTACCACTACCTGACAGTTTGGAAAGTACCATTAGGGAGGACTGGGTAAACATGGAATTAGAGAAAGTTCACCTGCAAAGGGAAAGCCATGATCGGGCAGCGTCTCTCCTCCAGCCCCGGGCCACGCATCTGGCTGGGCTATGGCAGCCCCGGGTTGGAGCAAACCCACGGGCTTCCCGACAGAGGCTGGCGGATGCCGAGGGCTTGCTGTGTGCTAAGCACTGTGGCAAGCACTTTACATTTATTATCTTGTTAAATTGTGCCGGGAACTCCTGTGCCTGGCACATAGTAGGCACTCAATAAATATTCACGGAATGAATGCATAGAGCATTGGGCAGGGCCAGGCTCCAGGCTGGGAGAAACAATGTGGTCAGGGTGATGAGGATCTTGCCAGCCTCTAGGGAGCCTTTATGTGCACCAGGGAAAAGAGCCCCTTCCAGGGGGACACAATCCACTGGTGCAAGACTTGGTAAAGGTGGTCCTTCCTAGGAGTGAATGCCGCTCCGGCCAGGGTGCCCTCACCAAGTGGGTAGCCTGGGAGGCCTGAGTGGAATGCCTATCCTAGGCTCTCTGCCCTGTGGCCCCCCCCCCCTAAGTTTCAGGTATAACCAGAACTCAAACCAGGACACTGTCACTAGAGGGAGGGCCAGGAGCAGAGACAACCACAAGGGGCTGTTAAGGGGAGAGTGGGTGTCTAGGCCTGTGGCTCAGGACAGAGAGGGCTGGAGACGTGGGGACCTGACTCCCCTTCCCCACCTTCTGGAGAGGACCCTTCTCAGGGGGCCCAGCACCTGCCCGAAGGTGAGGATGAGGCTGCAGAGAGGTCCTCCTCCCCTCTGAGTCTTCGGCCCTAACCTCTGGTCCCGTCCCCTCACGGAGAGGCCAGTTTACTCGAGACCAGACGTTCTCACCTATGCCGGAGGGATTGTTCCAGGCCCTGGACACCATCCTAGAGTTTGCCCAGAGCCTAATCAACTGCAGCTAAGTCTGATAAACCTGATGTCAACAGGCTGGCTTAAGCAGGCTTTTCCAGAATTGATTTTCTGACCATCCAGCCTTCACGGTCCAGCTACTGGATGAAGGGGATGATGTCCACGGGGCTCAGCCACTGGGAAACAGGATTTGCTTTCTGGGTTCGAGCTGGGGGGCTGCCCCCACCAGCTGCCTCAAACCCTGAGACCCAAGCCCTCTGGGAACCCCTAGTGATGTTGCTGAGGACGTGAAGCTGAGCACTGGATGGGGAGCAGTCAGGAAATGTGGACTGCTCTTCAGTTATCTGCGGCGTGACTCGCCAGGACTCTCTCCCTTTACATTTGCCAGCTGTAGAACGAGGCAGTTGGTTTAGATAAGGGCTGTCAGACAGCTCTTCTCTGAACTGTCAGTGGATCTGCTATTAGAGGCTTAATGATAGAGCTGTAGAGGCTACCTGTGGGCCTGGAGGGCAAGGGCTGGGACCGACTGGCAGTGTCGACCAGGAGAGCGGGCAGGGCGGGAGGCAGCACGTGGGCCTGGATTTGCCATGCCCCGAGCAGATGATGCCTGAGTGTTTGCACTGAGATGCTGTGACACTCTGTGTCTACTTCAGAATATGACTCAGGAGGCTTCAGGTCAATGGAGTTGCAGGTGTGGGGCGGATGGTTTGTGTTGATCCATGATGGTCTTTTCTCTCTGTAATCCCACAGTGCACGGGGGCTCCCATGCCCTTCTCAGTCAAAATTCTGTTCCTGGAACTATGACCTTCTTCAGTCACTACTATGTTGGGGTGGCAGAAGGGGGACTCGGAGATGTTGCCTCTTGAAAGGAGGTATGGAGAGGGTAGGCTCTGGGCTAGCCTGGAGGTGAACTCCTGCTCCACCATGTACCCCTGTGTTGCCTTGGCCGAGAGATTTCTACTTCTCTGAGGTTCAGTTTGCCCACCTATAAAATGGGGATAGTCCGAGCACCTATCCAAGGTGGCGGTGAGGATTGCATGAGATGCCTGTAAAGCTCTGAATACGGTGTCTGGCACATAGTAGGCCCTCCATCATTGTACTATTATCATCATCATAACTGTCTCTCCTTTCCACCTTCTCCACATTTTGAGAGCTGGGGTCTTTGCTGAAGCTCTGCTCAGACGGCTGCAGTATCCACCACTGGAGGCATCAGCATTCCCACTTCCCAGTGCCTGACTCTCCAGCCACCGTCTCCCCTGCAGCCCCACACATTCCTGCCTCTAGGCCTTTGCCAGTCCCTCCCTAATGCCTTCTCTGACCTCATTCCATTGGAAGGGGGTAGCCCTCCTGGAGCCCAGAACACTTTGCCCATCTCTCCTGGCACATTGGGTACTTCTACCCCAACAGACAATCAGCACCCCCTTCTGTATGCCTCTGGGAGTGCCTGGATGCCCCACATGGCCCTTGGTACTCTGGAACAGGAACTGTGAACCAAGCCTGGGGTCTGCATGATGATAATAAGCACAGAGCCCATCTTCAGGGCTCGGGCTCAGTGGGGGTCAGAGTGGGGAGGTGGCTGTGCAGGGCCAGGTGCTGTGACTAGGGAGGCCATCCAGCCTGCAGGGCAGGGTGGGGGCTGCTGGGGAAGGGAGAGTTGAATCATCTCCATCAGTCTGAATGGCTGAGAGGAGGACTCTACTGCTACAGGGCTTGGGGGCTTCAGAAGGTACCATGGGGCCATGGGAGGAGAGAGCTGGGCAGATTCTGGACACCAGGATTTCTCTGGGGCCTGCAGGGCCAGGAGGAGCAGCCCTGGGAAGTCTCACCCTAAGGCAAAGGCAGGGTTGGGGTCATACTCACGGATCGTCTGGGAGTCCAAATCTGCTGAAGAGAGGACACAATCTGGTTAGCGAGAAAGTGCTTTGGGCGCCCCCTGCTGGAGGCTAGGGAGTGGCATTGACTGGGCCAAGCGTTCTCCTCCCCTGAGGATGTTGAATTGAGCTCTAGAAATCCCACCCTGTCAGGGAGTCCTCCCTCACTTACTGCTGCCACCCCCCTTCGCGCCCACGTGCGCGCACACAGCACTACCTACTCTAACAGAGCATGTTATTAAATGCATAAAATAAAATAGATTAGAACGGAAACCAACTATATATCAATATAATAATAAAATATTAAAACATAAATTTGTGCTACAGTAATATATGTGCTTCTATATTAACGCATTAAATAATAAGGTGGGGGGGTCTGTGCAGCCAGGCTAGGAACCTCTGAAGAAAATGAGTATTACTCCTTTCCGTGGCTGAACATTCATGGTTTTCCATGGCCACTTTTCCCATTGGTTACCTGTCCTGTCACTGTAAGCATTTCTCAAGACTCTGGATCATCTCTTTTGTTTTTGTATATTCTGTAATTAAGTCTGTTTGTGTGCCCGACTCAGACCGTGAACATGAGCCACATGTTTCTCATTTTGGGGTCCCTGGGACCTAATACAGAATAGTTACTCCATGACTGCTGGTTGGAGGTACTGATTCATCAGACTTCAGGTGGCTGAGTTCTGGGGTGTACTTTCAAACACTGTGCTCTCTCTCACTTCAGGCTGGGGCTCTCTCCTCTAGAGGATGTGCCTGAGCTCCACTTCTGCTCTGAGCCTCCTACACTGACCTGGGCCCATCTCTTCCCAGGCTGTCAGCACAGCCAAGTCCATCTCTGTAAGAGCAGTGCCCTGGGGCTGGGGACAGGGTGGCACCATGGGTCTATATAGTTCATCCTGATGTGAGCCATGCTTGACAAGAAGTGGATGAGGTGCGGGGTCTCGGAGACTCCTCTATGGGGTGACTGGCTTCTCACTGCTGTGAAGCTGTGAGCTAGCCTGGGCCACTAGAGGTTATTAAGTTTGACTATGTCAGTGGAGGTCGTTCTCTAAACCCAAGGAGGACGATTGCAGAGACATATATCCCTTCCCTTTCCTTCCTTTGAAAGGATTTGGACCTGAGAGGCTTGGGTTTCCATTCCTGCTGACATCTATAAGGGAAATTTGGGCAACTTTCTTCATCTCCCTGAAGCTCCCTGAGCCTCTCTTTTCTTAGACTACACATAAAACCACACCATGAGGTCACGTATGAACCCACTCCACAACCACACCATGGATCACTTCATGGGGCCATTTGTGCAGATTATATGAGATTATGCATGTAAGTAACTGGTATCCATTACTCATCCATCATCCACCCATGCATCATTCATTCACCCATCCATCATCTACTCATCCATCCATCACCCAACCATCCATCTACCCATCCATCCATCATTCATCCATTATCTACCCATCTACCCATCCATTACCTACCCACCCATCCATTCACCATCCATCCACCCATCCATTCATCATACATCCATCCATCCACCCATCATCTATCCACCCACCTATCCATTCATCCACCTATACATCCATCCATTCATCCACCTTCCATCCACCCTCCATCAATCCACCCATCCATCATCCATCCATTTTTCTTTCATTCATCAAATGTTTACTGAGCATCTGCCCTGCACTGAGTGCTAGAGAAGTGGAGGTACACAAGATAAAATCCTTGCCTTCAAGAAGGCAAGCTAAAATCCTTGCCTTCAAGAAGCTATTCTAGGGAATAGTGATCGACAACAACTAAATAGACAAATAAATAAACACCCTAATGATGCCTGATGGTGAAGCTCTGAAGGAAATAGGCCAACATAGGGGCTAAAGTAGAGGGAGGGGGCATGACTGCAGCTGGGGTTGTTGGGGAAGACCTCTCTGAGGAGGTCACATTTGAGCAGAGACCTGAAGAAGGAGAAGAGCTGGCTACAGGGACATCTGTGTGAAGAGTGTTTCAGGAAGAGGTGATAGCAGCTACAGTTGGATGCCACTCAATGCTCAGTTTTTTCTCTCTTGACTCCCTTCTTTTCCTCCCCCCTTCCTTCCTTCTTTTCTTCCTCCCTGTGTCATTCTTTTTTCTTGGAATCACATTTCCAAAACGGCCCTTGATGCAGGCACATGTTATAGCCAGGGCCTTGGAACACTTCTCTGCTCCTCATGGGCTCCAGGCTTCCTGGAAGCCTCCACCCCCACAAAGGCTGGAGTCCCAAAGGCAGCGCACACCCTGCCATGTCTGGCTGTCTCCTGGGTCACCCACAGATGGAGGGAGGAATATCCTTGGCCCCGTCCTCGTCCACAGTCCCTGCGCCCAGCAGTGAGCCCCACTCACCTAGCCAGCGGGGCAGACGGAGAGTTTTCATGTTGAAGCTGATGTAGCTGCTAATAAAGATCCATGTGGCGACCAGGGCAAAGATAAGGGCCAGGAGGTGAAGCACACCTGTAGCGCAAGGAGATACTGCCATGAAGCCACATCACAAGGCCACATAGCAAGGTTACTTGTGAGTCCTTATCAAATCCTCACAGTGAGACCATGTCATGAGACCCCACCAGGAGACCCCATGTTGTAGCTCCAGACCAAGGCCCACACCTTGGACCAGGTCAGGAGACCACGGGGTGAGACCATGTGTGAATCCATGCAATGACCAAATGGTGAGATCATGCTGCAAGATTACGTGGCCACATTTCCCAAAGTGGGTCCACTGGGGGAAAAGGTTAGAAATGTTCCTTTCTGGGCTCCACTTAGCCATCCACAGACAGACTCCTTAGGGGTGAGGCCTGGGAATCTGCACTTTTATCCAATACCCTGTGGTGAGGCCTGAGTGTGTGGCAGCAAAGCAGGAGGCAGGTTCTGCTGCAGACAGCCCGAGGGGTGAGCCCCGCCACAGAAGTCGGGAAGGCTGCATCCAGCACTCCAGGCAGCCAGTGCCACTGTGTGACCTCGGGCAGAAGCTCAGCCTCTCTGGGCAGAAGTGCCTCAGTCACAGAGTGGACATGGTTTGACAGCCTCGCTTCTGAACCCACAGCTTGTTGGGAGGGAGGTGATAGTTGTCACTAGTAGGCAGCCTCCATGGTGGCTTGGGGCAGGGGCTTGTCCCTCACATTTTCCACTGCTCCCCCTGAAAGGGGCCACAAATAACCACACAATGCTATTTATAGGAACACACACTGGCCTTGCTGATGTGGCTTCCCTGGCCTCACAGCCTGACTGCTTCTGCATCAGTGGGGAGCAACCCCACACACAGGACAGACTCTTGGTCTCCAGAGCTCCCAGAGCTCCCGGTCTCACTCCCTTCCCCCACTCTCCCATGAGGGCCAGAAGCAGTCTCCACTACGCCTACCAGCTCAGGGCCTTTGGTGGCCCCAATGCCATCAAGCCACGTTCCCTAGCTCCGCCCCTGCCCTGACCTCCATGTGGCCCTGAATTCAGCTCTGGGGTCTTGTGCTGGCCTCTGGCTACTTGGGGTGGGGGAGAAGGCCCCCTGGATCCTGTGGGGGCAGGGCTCAGGTCTTTGGGGAGGTCCCTCATCTCCTGGGGGACAGTGTGGTGGGAGGCACCCAGAATTCTCCCTGGGTATCAGTTCACATTATACAGCCATTTTGTTTGAGGCAGCGGGCGAACAGCTTTCACATACATTATCTCAGTTCATCCTCACGGTAAATCTCTGTCAGATACTACTGATCATTCCCATTTTGCAGATAAGGAAAGAGGCTCAGGGGGGCGGTCACTTGGCTGGTAAGTGACAGAGGTGGCATTTGAACCCAGGAACGTGTGCTGACTCTAAAACTTGTGCTCTGAACTGTGTCAGTCCCTGTGATCCCAGCCAGGTGGGGCCATGATGCCAAAGTTTCTCCAGCCCTTCAGCCTAGGGGCAGCAAGTTGCCTTTTCCCCTCTTCCAGGCTCCCCCTGGATGGGTTTCCTCCTGGAATTAGTCTGGTCTGAACATTTGAGAGCATAGACAGTCAAACAACCTCTGAGTCTAGGGACTGACTGCATTCCTGATGGAAAAAATGATTCCTAAACCGTATCAGACCTCAACGTTGAGAATTTGAATCCTCGGAACATGGCCCCTACCTGATACTCTCATCTTGTCCTGGTGAGGAGCGGCTTGGGGTCAGCGTTAGCCTGTGGAGAGAAGGAAATCAAATTGGAAACTGGCACCTGGGGTCTGAAAATGAATAAGACGGACGATTAGGCACAGGTACCTCGACCGAGGAGATCACAGACCTTTCAGTTTGGTTCCTCAACATCTGCCATCTGTTTGCTCTCTGCCTCCACCTCTCCTTCACTTTTGCCCCTAGAATCTTTTTTTTTTTTTAATTTTATTATGTTATGTTAGTCACCATACATTACATCATTAGTTTTTGATGTGGTGATCCACGATCCATTGTTTTCGTGTAACACCCAGTGCTCCATGCGGTACGTGCCCTCCTTAATACCCATCACCGGGCTAACCAACCCCCCCCCAAAACCCTGTTTCTCAGCGTCCATAGTCTCTCATGGTTCATCTCTCCCTCCAATTCCCCCCCCTTCATTTTCCCCTTCCTTCTCCTAATGTCCTCGATGCTATTCCTTATGTTCCACAAATAAGTGAAACCATATGATAATTGACTTTCTCTGCTTGACTTATTTCACTCAGCAAAATCTCCTACAGTCCCATCCATGTTGATGTAAAAGTTGGGTATTCATCCTTTCTGATGGCTGAGTAATATTCCATTGTATATATGGACCACATCTTCTTTATCCATTCATCTGTTGAAGGGCATCTCGGCTCTTTCCACAGTTTGGCTATTGCAGACGTTGCTGCTATGAACATTGGGGTGCATATGGCCCTTCTTTTCACTACATCTGTGTCTTTGGGGTAAATACCCAGGAGTGCAATTGCTGGTCATAGGGTAGCTCTATTTTTAAATTTTTGAGGAACTGCCACACTGTTTTCCAAAGTGGCTGTACCAACTTGCATTCCCACCAACAGTGTAAGAGGGTTCCCCTTTCTCCACAACCTCTCCAACATTTGTTGTTTCTTGCCCTGTCCATTTTTGCCATTCTAACTGGTGTAAGGTGGTATCTCAATGTGGTTTTGATTTGAATTTCCCTGATGGCTAAAGATGATGAACATTTTTTCATGTGTCTGTTAGCCATTTGTATGTCTTCTTCAGAGAAGTGTCTTTTCATATTTTCTGCCCATTTTTTGACTTGATTATTTGCTTTCTGGGTGTTGAGTTTGAGAAGTTCTTATATTCAATTCAACATGTCTTTCTTGGGTGCTGAGATTGGCAGGTAGAGGAAGTGTAGTCTGCCAGCCACTGTCTCTTGGAGGATTGATTTATTCATCCATCCATCCATCCATCCATCCATCCTTCCATCCTTCCACCCTTCCATCCGTCTATCCTTCTACCCTTCCACTCTTCCATTCATCCATCCCACCATCCCTCCAGCCAGCTGAGAGACATTGAGCTAGCTAGCTCCAGTAAAACCACCAGGAAACAGAAGCTCAAGTGATTTCTGCTGAAGTGCCAACATGAAGAGTAATGAGAACGCTCACGTTATAGGTGAGTTTGCTCCGGGTGCTGTATATGCAATTACCTCCTTTAATCCTCACACTCCCCCATTTTAGGGGTAGGTAAACCAGGACTCACCATGGTTAAGCCCAGGGTTATTCAGCTTGTAAGGGTCACAGCCAGAATTTGGATGCAGGTCTCCACTGCCCAATCCCCACAGGGTCCCGCTGCCAGGGCCTTTTGTCCCAGAGGAGAGTTGAAACTGGAGTTTCATCCCTTCTTCAGCCCTAGGTCCCAACTTTCACCTGTGCCACCCCCGAGGTCCTGGGCAGTTACCAGTGATTCAGCAGCTGTGAAGACCCCCAGTAGGTCTCTAGAAACCTAGGGGAGGGGAGGGTAAGGCTGGTGGTAACTGTTTCAAGTCTCTAGCCAGCTGGAGGGGCTCTGACTGCAAGGACTTGCTCCCACTACTCTTCCACTCCCCACTCAAGAATCTTCTTTATCCTGAGAATCCATCTCGACAGCCAGGGCCCCCAAAGCCCAACCACTAAGGACCCAGTTAAGAGACAGGAGGCTTAAGGTCTCACCTGAAGCAGTTGGGCTGAGTCGGTCCTCGGTATTTAAACAAAAGCAAGAGCAAATCTACATTTCCTTTTGATAAGTATGAAAATGTTCCCACCCACTCTGGCCTGCTGTCTAGGTCCTTCCAGGTAAGAAAGGTGAGCTGGTGCCTGACCCTACCCACAGAGATTTTATCGAACTTTAACTTCCTGAAATTCAAATGATCGCCGCCCCCCTTTTGTTCAGATACAAAGAGTGTATTATGCTTTTGAATGTTCATGGGGTCCGACCTAGAGTCTGGGAGCGCAGGCCCACGGGTGACGTTGGCAGGATGTCCCGTGGAGCTTGGGGCCGGACGGGATGGGAGAATGGGAACAGGGTCAGGTGCATGAGGGCGCACAGAGGACTAGACAGTCGTCGATACTGACAGAGAGCATGCCGGGGACAGAACTTGGAGAGACAAAGCACAAGGGGAAGCGGGGCTGGCAGAGACGCAGACAGGGACACACAGAGAAAGAAGGAGGCAGGGACAGGGGAGGAAAACAGATAAAGGGGCAGAGGCAAAGAGCAAATACTCAGGACGTGCCTTCACCTAGATTCAGAGGGAGAAAAAGACAGTGCCACTCAGAGAGAGACGAGACAGAGGACAGAGAGAGAGGCTGGGATACATAGCCGGGTCAGGGGCTAGCTGCGTGCTGTCCCGCCCATGCCAAGCAGGGACTCTGGTTTCAGGGCAGGGGGGCAGGGAGGGGAAGGGGCGTGAGGACTCTTCCAGCTCAGTGTCCCTCCTGGCTCAGTCCCCGACTGTCCCCTCAGCACCTGCAGGGCTTCTCCAGTCTCCTGGGTCCCCACCCGGCTCACCCTGTCAGCCCGTAGGTGCTCTGGAGGCTTCAGCTCCGGAGTCCTGGCTTCCAGGACCTGGTCTGCTGGGGGCGGGGAGGGAGGGAGGGAGGGAGAGAGGCGCTGGGGACTGGTACGCAGGGTGGGGCAGGAATTCCCTCCGTAGCCACCCAAACCCAAAAGTTTCTTTCTTACTCGTTCCTGCGAGAATGTCTGTCGCAACCTGTTATTCAGGTTACAGAGCTGTGGGGCAAAGGCACAGGGAGAAAGGTCTGACTGTCCTTGAACACATATCGTGGCCCCAGGGTGGTATGTGGTCACAGGGCTTGGGGGGGGGTGGGAGGGTGGAGGGTGGAAAGGTGGGGATGGAGGTGGAGGGGTGGGGAGGGGGAAGGCAGAACCCATGGTCCAACCTCATTGCCCTGAACCTCTCCCTTTGTCCTGCCCCTCCCCTTGGACCCCATTGGATTTCTGGCGGCAGGTTTGGCCGTGTGCATAAAGCTGCAAGCAGGCTTTCCTTTTCTAGGGCAGGCCTGGTCTCCTGTAGGCCCCGTACAATGCTGAGCACAGAGGAAGTGCTCCATGAATATTTGGGGCCTGAATGAACAGGATTCTTGCATAGTCCTGAAACATTAGGACAATGAAACCACTGTGTAGAGAAGGAAGCTGAAGTTCAGAGAAGGCAAGTGACTTGTCTAAGGCCACACAGCCACTTATGGATTTCATTTCTGAAGCAGTCTCTGAGCAGTCACGGGAAGGCAGGCTGTGCATTAGGCAGGGGGTGTGGCTATGAGCAAGACATGCTCGGAAGCATCCCTGAGCATTTGGACTGCTAGTCCCTGTCTGTCTCTTTGCCTGGAACATTCCTACTTAGACTTCAGGTCTCAGTGGAGAAGTCACTTCCTCTGGGAAGACTTTCCTGACCCCTTCCCCACAAATCAAGGTTAAACACCTACCTGTGGTCCTGGATGAGGGGACACCCATCACAGCCCCCCATCCTGTCAAGAGGAGCTGGTCAGTCAGTGCACTGTGATTTCTCTGGGGTTGGGTCATAAGGGGGCATGTGACCCAAGGAAGGCCAATCAGAGTTTTTCCTGGGACAGATCTTGGAAACTGGGGAGAGAGAAGCTATTTTTTCCCTGATGATTCTAAGCCGGACGTCTGTGAGTCTGAGGCTGCTAGAACCTCTTTCTCAGCTACTCTAAAGTCTTGCCAGAAGATGCAAATACTAGGCTGAGCATGGGGCAGTGCTTGTGGCCTTGGTCTTGAGAGGACCAGGGAGGAAGAAGCATGTGACTTCAGGAAACAGGATGGATTTTGGGTCCATCAGACAGACCTGCGTTTGTCACTCGGTACTTGTGTGTTTTGGGACACACCTCTCTGGGCCCTGGCTTCCTCCCGTGTAAAGTGAGGGTGCTGCCATCTACCTGTCTTGAAAGGGGTGTCAGGCAGGGACGCCGCCTGTCTATGAGGGTTTTGCTGGCCTGATGAAATCCCTCCCATCCCTCCTCCCTGTTGGCAGGCCCCATTCACCCTGCCGCTTCCTGCTAGCACACCTCCTTGACAGGATTCCTATCCGGATGTTTGCTCTTCCTATGGAACCAAAATGCCATCACAGCCTGCTTGTTCGTGACATTTCTTAATTGTCCTATAAGAGCTGGGACATCAGTTTCTTCCTGTTTCCTGGAGTCCCCTATACTCAGGTGCCTTTGAGCTCAGCCATGAACTGTCCCAGAGCCAAGATGAATGGAGAGAGGATTACTCTCTGTCCAGGCTAGGAGGGTTGAGAAAAGCACCTTGATGGAGAAATAAATGGGTATTTCTCCTGCTTAAGTCTGGTCTCTGGTGCCTAAGGCCCTTAGGATAAAGGCCAATGTATTTCACGTGGCTTACAAGGCCTTGCATGATTTAAACCCTGGCACAAGATTAACCTTGCCCACCTCATCATCTGCTGTCCCCACTTTACTTTCTGCTCTAGATGCCCAGAGCTGCCCTGCATGAGGCTCTCTCCCTCACCAGCTTCGCACATGCTGTTCTCTATGTGGACTGCCCTTCCCTGACTCATCCGCTCGGGCAACTCCTCCTCGGCCTCAGGTCCTCACCCAAGCAGCCCTTTGTCGTTGGAAAGACAGAATTCGGAAGCTGTTTCCTAGCTCATCATAAGGATCCAGGCTCAGCCAACAGT